TTTTTTTTTGCGTAAATATCTCTCTTCGATCAAATGTGACAATTAGGCCAGATTAATACTAACGATGTAAAAATTTCCTCCGTCCATGTTGAAACCGAACAAACCTCGCGGGTATCCGCTTTGGCGGGTGATCTCCCTGAGAGATTATTGAGTTGTTGTTTTCATTGTTTATTCATCAAGTTCTCAGTTGTTATGACTTTTCGGTAGTATTGTTCTTATTTATTGTTTATTGAGTGGGTCGGCTAAAATTAAAGACGAAGAGTGAAGCTCCAATGCAGAATTTTTGAAGTCTCTTTGATATTATGCTTTCGACAGTGCACGTGAATAGCAACTACGTTGGGTGTCCACTTAAGATAAACTGGATTAAGTGTCCAAGATGAAAGGTTGCTCAATAAAACGAACATTGTTGACAGCTTTATTAAGATAGGCTTACGGTCTCTTGATGTAATATAACCCTTGGTTCAAAACAATAGACTTGGCGCCTCGCCCTTCTGAAATATGCGAAGATCGCGACGTTGAACGTCGCTATGACATTTAATCTCTTTAGTTGACGTTGAACGTCGCTATGACATTTAATCTCTTTAGTTGTCTCTGCTTTACAAGACGCGGGTGGCTATGCGATTTCCCGCCAAAATAACCTCGATTTGCATTTGGGTTGCCATACCTGTTGATAGAGTTATTTTATATTGGTATGCCTGTGGTACGGACGGACGGTGGGCGGTCGGTGTACGGTCACGTGATTACCAAATTTTCTGGGATGGGTAGATTTACTTACCATAGTGCTCCGCTGGCGCGCGCGAGAGCTCCGCTAAAAAATTGGTCATTTCAGGTCGTAGTTGTGCAGGGACAGCAAAGAAATGTACAAAAAAGCGTGATGCGCGTGCAGAGTTGTTATTTTGCTCATTAAACCTGTTGTTTTTTTTACGTTCTCCTTGTCGTCGCCGTCGTAGTTTCGTTAGGTCCGTATATTTATTGTTGGCAACCGCCGTGTTTCACCAACTAAAACTTGCGTGAAAGAATTATGGGATCCTGCTACTCAGGCTTTTCACCAACGCCCTAGTCAGTCACTGCAAGATAGTAGAAACACGACTTTCCGGTGACACGAAACAGCGAAATGGTTTGTGAAAGTATAAGACAGTCTCGATTCTTGTTTTGTACTCGTGTGATTTCTCTTTCGTGGTTAAGGCAAATTATGTACTTATGTACTTACATTGATGAATATGGTTGAGCTGCTCGGATGCTTTTTCTTCTTCAGTGTACTGTTTTCGTCAGCGCTCGTCTTGACTTGAACCAAGACTGTTATGTTTATGCTTGTGCTTTAGCTGTAGGTAAAAACCAGTCTGATTTTATTCCGAAATACTTCCCACAAGTCATAGTAGCCTTATTCCTGGCTTTAAGGCCCCTTCCACACGTATCCGGTTATTTTTGAATCCGCAATTTTTTCTTTGCGGATTCAAAAATTTCCACGTCCACACTAGTCTGCTACACGCACGTCACGCAATACGAGACGACACCAGGAAAGGCTTATCTAAAATAAACCTTCTTGTTAAAACGCCGTTGCATAGGCGCAGTATGGAAGTTAGACGCTCCAGGTTATGGGCTCCTGACGACACTAAAAACGGCTGTGTAGCAGATTACGTCCACACCTAGCATATTCAAATCCAATTTGCCCGTCCTCACGTATACGGATTCACTCGCAATTCGTTAGCTAATTTGTAAAGACAGATTCTCGGCTCATGCGAAAATTCAAAAACGGTTTCGCTGACAAAATTGTCCCACCAGGCATTAGTTCGCTTGTTTAACTTGTTCGTGACATGGAAAGAAGCCTCAGAATGTCTAGCCGCCGTTTGGTATATAATTAAAGTGTACAGTAATCACAGCTGGTGTAACTGTTCACACGATATAAGGCTCAAAGAAAAAGTCCAAGAAGTAAAGAAGCAATAACATTATTCTTGAATATTCACGGTTAAGAACTGGGCTCAATCTTATTGCGTCATCGGATAGAAAAATAGCCGGAATTAGCGTCCACACGATTCCGGATTCATAGCGTATTCAAAAATTTCCACTCTAGAGAGCGGATTCAAAAAGTTTCGAATTCGTTTTCCTGGATTCAGCTGATACGTGTGGACGGAAGCCCTATCCGGAAAGGAAAAGTTGCGGATCCAAAAACATCCGGATACGTGTGGATGGGGTCTAAGATGGTATAAATATTCAGTCGTGCCAAAAAATTAATTCGGCTTGCTTTATTTCGGGGACATCCCTAGTATCTGATAGCCTGAGTGGCACACGCAAGTCATTGAGGTATCCAAAGATAAGACCTAGACTCCCTTTGGAGTTTTAATTATGGTCAGCCAGAAGACCTTTTTGTTTTCCCATTGCCAACCATGTGCTGTCATCCCCCCGAAAATTGTTTCTTTCAAAATGTCGCGCTATCCACGTGCATATGTGTGCACAACTAATGAAAATGCAAGAGGCAAATTCCCTTGAGTACTTCATGTGGTCTGAATTGGGAAACTAAAACCGACGAGCTAAGAAGGTATATTGAATCACTCTAAGCCATTAACACTCGCTAGTGTTTCAAGTTTCCTGCCCCAGAAGCCTGCCCCAGGCTCTCAGGCAACTAGTACAGACGAGTGGAAAAAAAAGCGAGCGAAAAACGGCGGGAAGAGAGAATGGGAGAGCCTATCAGCATCTTTTTAACTACCCCAGTTCGCTCACTTCCAGAGAATTATGTACTAGGGTTTTACACGCTCACCATTTTTGTATGATTCTGCGGGCTCAAAGCCAAGTGATTGACGTAAGAGTTGACTTGGCTGTCAAAATAGACCAATCATGGGTATGCTAGGAGCCAGTATACCTGGATTGGGCTGAAGACAATGCTTATTAAAGGCTCCATTTCCCCGTGTCTCCCCAGCCCCCAAGCGTTTTTCGTGCATTTTTTTCTCGATCAGCACTACTACGAGGCAAAAGACCTAAATTAACAGCAATGCACTTCCAATCGTTCTCAAGGTGGCCCAGGGGAATAGGTGTCATACCCACAGACATTGTCCGTCAATGTAAAGGGCCGCCTGCATTATAATTAAGCCAGTCTAGTAAAGTTTAGGTCTCGGCACCCTCGCAAGCAGTTCAGACCCCACCCTTCTCCCCGCAGCGATGGAGCATATTCACGTCTATCGAGTCAAAGCCTCGCGCCGATTCTCCCATGTTTATTTGGCTTTGTGTGTGGGTGTTCCTGCTTAGAAAATATTACAAGCAAACCTAGATCAACCGAAAAATTTCGCTTTGAGATCATGCCAAAATTTCCTGGTCATGTACGTGAGCTGATTCGACCGGGACAATTTTTGGACCTTTTTTGATGTGCTCGAAGCAAATTAGCCATACCGAAAAACAATTTTTGGAACCAATGAGCTATACTTTTTAAACCCAATGGCGATTTTGTTCGTTCTAGTATGAAATGGCGCTAAACTCATATACACTACCAACCTAAGATAGCACACTGGGTGACACAAACTATTATACGAGAAATACGTATCTCGCAACCCCTTGCGAAACGCGGTGTTGCACACAAGTTATGAAGTAAACTCCGTCTGCAAAGTGAGACGCGAAACTAAGTGTGCCTCTCAAGATAAGCCCTGACAGACGGTGTGGGAACTGGGTGCATGGGTGACCAGCTGCGAATGTCAGGACCATCACTTCTTTCTATGGTGTTTTCCTCCTTTTCCTTTTTTCATTGTCCTTTTTGATTACTAAATGAGTAATAGAAAGTGCATTTAGCAATACCTCAGACGCCGAATGGAAAGAAAAAAGTCAAACTTGAAATCCGTAATGGATACTTTGTTCTTGGTTCTTTCCTTAAACGTACGAAGGGTTTAAGGGAAGAAATCAGGCCACTTCAAGTTGTACACAGTTTCTCTGTTACTAGCGGAACTCCACCATGATAAAAATACTCCTCTTTCTTAGGTGTCAGAGGGTATTAAGAAATTGAAATCAAAATAATAAAAATTAAGGTCATGGAAATTAACGCTACACTTAATTAACGGCACGGAAATTAACGTTAACATAAATTAATCAGACCAAAATTAATCGCGTTAATTTCATGGAGAGTTAATTTCCTATAATGTTTTGTGGTTCTGTACGGATGTTTCCGGAAACACTATTTTNTGACCAGCTGCGAATGTCAGGACCATCACTTCTTTCTATGGTGTTTTCCTCCTTTTCCTTTTTTCATTGTCCTTTTTGATTACTAAATGAGTAATAGAAAGTGCATTTAGCAATACCTCAGACGCCGAATGGAAAGAAAAAAGTCAAACTTGAAATCCGTAATGGATACTTTGTTCTTGGTTCTTTCCTTAAACGTACGAAGGGTTTAAGGGAAGAAATCAGGCCACTTCAAGTTGTACACAGTTTCTCTGTTACTAGCGGAACTCCACCATGATAAAAATACTCCTCTTTCTTAGGTGTCAGAGGGTATTAAGAAATTGAAATCAAAATAATAAAAATTAAGGTCATGGAAATTAACGCTACACTTAATTAACGGCACGGAAATTAACGTTAACATAAATTAATCAGACCAAAATTAATCGCGTTAATTTCATGGAGAGTTAATTTCCTATAATGTTTTGTGGTTCTGTACGGATGTTTCCGGAAACACTATTTTCGTGGGAAATCAGTAGATCTAAAAATACATTTTAAAGGGAAAGGGTTGACTGAAGAAGGTTATGACACACTACTAATCGGCTCCTGAGACGTACAGTGATGCAATATATACCTCTTAATATTACCAGTGTTTTCGGTCTGTGCTGTAAATTACAGATCCTCGTTTTTCCGTAATTTGCATTACGGATCGAAAAAACGAGGCTAACAATCTGTTTATTAATATGCTTCCAGTTTACGGGACCGGAAACAATTGCAGAAGAAGCGATTTGACAGTCATTTGACAGGCGTCATTTCAAAGTTTGAATTGGCTCATAGAAGGCTTTTTGTTTGAAAGTAAAATCAAATTGCTAATGCGCCATGTTAAAAAAGTCTATTCTGTCAAAACTAATAGCTAAGAGCTCTGTAAGTATTCGCTATCCAATGTGACGCTGGAGTCTTTTGAAAGCTGGAACTGGGTCGAAGTTGATCCATCTCAGTCTTTCGCTGGCCTTTGGAAAAAAAACGTTGCAGATGGCTCATCAAGGGGACCAGGTGCAAAGCAGGCTAGTTTTCAGATCGTAAGAAAGGAAATACACCAAAATTTCCATGCATCGAAATATGATGTTAAGCAGCCTTCTGACGCTACTTAAGATTAACTTGAGTTATTTAGAACTCTTTTACTAAATAATTTATTAAGGCTATTGAAAATATAAGGTTTGAAATATATTTACGTTTCATTTGAATTCAAACATACAGAATTTTTTACTTCTCACGGAGCTTATTTGCTAAACACCACACTGTAAGTTCCTAGCGTCAGATTTTCAGGAGCAGGTCTAGATCGCGCGAAATTTAGATTTAATCGATTTCAATTGTTTTTGTTTATTTTTGTCATAGTGATATCGATTTTACTAGAAAATGCATTTTGACCGACTTCAATTCATATTCAATCACTGGTGAAAATTTTGTGGCGATCATGCAAGGATAAAATCTATTTTAAGGCGATTGAAAAACATCGGTATGGTCTCCGAGAAACTGTATCGAAACACCTTAAGACAGACAGAAAATGAATCGCCGATTCAAGCGTACTGTCAAAACAAAAGATCCAAACACTCGGGCCGATTAGAAGAGGTTAAGAAACGAAATACCATCTGACTTTAACTTAGAAAAGCATAATCTGCTTATTTCAGGGATCAACTTAACCAGGCGAAGACAACACCAGCGGCTTACGTTATACGGGGATGTAATGTCCAAAGCAACCAAAGTACGCAAGAAGATAAGGTCGCTTAGGCGCGACAACAATAGCTTAGCTGGGAATGAGACCGAGAAAGCTAACCTTATGAATAGATTTTTCTCCACAATTGGTCAAACATTAACTGTAGGGCAATCCCAGTACTTTACCAGTCCAAAAAATATTCGATATTCGTCTATCCAGCAATGAAGTAGAGAGAAAAAGTTAGTTCATTGAAGGAAAACAAAGGTACTGGACCGGATTAGATATCAGCCAAACTATTGAAATTTGCGGGACCCGCTGTTGTAATCCTGCTATCCAGCCTTTTCACGCGCAGTACTTGTGAATTCTGGGTTTATAGCCATTGGAAAATGTCTAAACAAACTCCTGTGCACAAGAAAGATGATCCTACGGAAATAGGAAATTATCGCCCCCTCTGTCTGCTGAGTGTCCCCAGTAAGATTTTGGAATTATGTGTTGCTGACTCAATTGTGAGTCATGTTTTCAACGAAGAGCTCGTCAACGACAATCAATGGGCCTATAGAAAAGGGATATCTACAGAGCTACTCCTCGCCCACCTGAATAAAAATTGGGCGTTTTATTTATGGACTTCTAAAAGGCGTTTCGTTGCGTTTCACACTCCCTTTTTCTCCACAAGCTGCAACACAACTTTGGAATTTCGGGTAATTTACTGGCATGGTTTAAAGATTATCTTACGGAACGGAAGCAATATGCTGTTATCAATGACTTGTCTTCCAAGAGAACTACAGTTACTCAAGGCATCCCACAGGGCTCTGTACCCCGGCCAACATTATTTGCCCTCTACACTTCAACGTACATGTATGCCGATAATACTACAATTTACTGCGTAGGAGAAACCGTTGACAAGGTTACAGCAATGATAAACAGATCGCTTAGAGAACTAACCAACTGGTGTAAACATAATTCATTACAAAATAACTCACAGATAGTACGCACTCTCTGATTGGCCGAGGGGTGTGTTTGTATCAGAGTGTAAGCATGGTTGTGGCGTCAAGATGTTTTGCTTTTTGCGCCCTAATCACGCAAGCACGAATTTGAAAAAGGTTTTGAGTTGAAAAATTCGTCGACAAGTTTACTTTATTTATGCATTTCCTCGTCGGCTGAGACTTGGAAAATCTTTAGAAACATGCTGTATCAATTTTTTTTCGCTTGAGCTGACATTTTAAGCGAGAAAAAACCCGTATTTTGGAAGCATCTTTTTTGCAAAACAAGGACTGATTACGCGTACAAGTTCGTGTACAAGACTTCGCGACTGGTAAGAATTTCTCTTTTAATCAGTGCTCTAAACAAGTTAGACAGTTTTAATTTTTTTATCGGGAAAGTTATTTCATAAAAGCATTAGAAAACTTTTTTACATGCGTTTGCATATCCTGATCTATACACTCGAGGGGTTGGGAGAATTCTCGACCGTTATGCAAACCCTCGACTTCGTCTCGGGTTTGCATAACTGTCTCGAATTATCCCAAGTCCTCTCGTGTTTATATCAGGCTATGTAAACACGGGAAACGTTTTTTATTGCTTTACTAGTGCCGCATCCTAAAAAGTGCTAGGGTATGATCCTTCACAGAAATAGTTTTATTGGGCCCTGAACTGAACCTTATTAAACGCTAAACGCTCTCGCTTCTTACCCATAAAAACGCTTTTAGACCTATACTTTTCTGGGTAACTTTTCTTGCTGAAACCTCGAAAGACTTGGAAATAATCCTCATAACTATTGTACGGAGTTTTACGAATAGTCTTTCACGCACTAGTCTTTATTTTAGCCTTAAGGCTTAAGGCTAAAATAAAGACTACTGCGTGAAAGACTATTCGTAAAACTCCGTACAATAGTTATGAGGATTATGACCTATACTTTAAAGTCATTTGATCCTTTATAACATATGTGCTACCAGTTTGAGGGTGTCCCACCAATAATAATGAGCCATGCTCTGGAATCCATATTTAATGCAGAGAGTTGTTAGAGTCACTTATAACCTGCCCCGCGACTTACCCTCTGAAGACGTCCTAAAATCAGTCCAGTGGGATTCGTTATTTGACATGTGCAAGGCTAAGATTTATAACATATTTAATTACATAGCTCCGTCATGCTTAGAACATGATCCAGAGGCGAGAGAACAAGTTAGACTTGCGTCATCACCATCGCATGACCGTTCCGCGTTTCGAAACGTATTACATGAAGAACTCCATCTCGTACCATCCATTGCTTGGAACTTGTAAGATCCCGCCGTGACTAGCACAAGAGCCTACGCTAAAAATCTCAACTTCCCAGCTGAATTATGCATCCCAAGTGAGTGCGTCCAACAACAGTGAATTCGTCTTTTGTTGTCTAATAGTCAATTAATACTACATGATGCAATATATTTTTTTTTCTTGATAGCAGAAGTATTTTAGTTATTTTTACTTTTTAGGTATAGGTTCTTAATTACAATCTGCATGTTCTTTAATTAGCATGTTTTTAATTAATATCATGTACACGGCCCCATAAGCTGTATTAGCTTTAATTTTAACCTTGTTTGTTTATATTAAATAATAATAATAAATTAATAATAATATTAAAAGTTAATCATGATTTTTTTACACACTTATGTAGCTGCTTGTTGGTTAATAATTACCAAACCCCAGCCCAACCTCCATTCAGGAAACACCTTGGACACAAGGGTGTCCTCTGAATAGAGTTTCCACTGTATCTACGCGCCTTCAGTCTAGAAAGGTGAATTGAGTTTCTTGACATTTTAGCCGGATCGAGGAGTGTGTGGATACCATAACAGTGAACTCTACGGGAGAGAACAGATCACTTACGCTGTCGAGGCTCTGATAGGTGGTTACCAAGCAAGAAAAATAATCACAGTCTATGGACAGTTTAAGTGCGGATTACCAATAATTGCACCGTAATTGGTCACGAGCTTTTTCCATTCCTTACCGTCTTGAGCTAAGTTACTTATATCTTTTGTCATCACACAGATAGCAAAATAGCAACTTGTTAATGAATAAATGCTTATTGATTATGTTTGATAAATAAATGAGTTGCCCCGAGTAGATAATTAACCGGCCTGAAATAATGAATTTTTGAATCTTATATAATATGCATTAAACACAGCGCACGTCATGCGCTGATACCTTCATCCGCGACACCTGACAGAATTTCCATATTTGGAGTTGCGCAGTATTTAAGTTCCACATAGACGAGAAAAATGCGAACAATGTGTAAAACGTCCACTGTTGATACTGTTTGAGACATTCAATGAAAAAATATTTTCTCCCAGGAGGAAATATTTTGCAACTTCTCGTTTCCTTTCCTGACGCCCCAGTCGAAAAATTTCCTCTTTTTTGAGTTTCACCACAAAACAAGGGCTTGGACATGCGGTTTTACGCGGGCCCCACGACTCTTAAAAACGGGATTCTCCGGTTAGTAACTTCTGACAGGATTTACGTGTGAAAAACAACCGCGTTGTACGCTGACAGCTGTTTTCCCTTTGTTGGGCTTGTTGACACGCACTACACCTTTCCACAGTGTAAATCTGCAACGCAAATTTCCCTAAGTTTATTTGTTAAAAGAAGTTTTAGTTTCGAAGAGGCGATCATACATTCATAATACAAAGCCATTATCTGATGGTACTTTGTAGCTGCCATATGCCATTTGCTGCTATCGGAAAGCGACCGCGTTTCTTAGTATTTTTTATATATATCGTTTCCGGAGAGAAACGCACAGCTACAGAATAGAGATCGCTCTCACAAAATTCATTGGAAAATAATGGAACAAATCCTTAACTTTCTTCGTAAAACGGTTTATTATTTCAATTAGCCTAAACGAAACTTTCAGCTTAGACGGATAGCTTAGAAACCGTAACTTTTGGATTCTAGAGCTCCATAAAGATGACGAAAAGGTAAAAATGAAACTACAACTTAAATAGCCTTTTTTTCCCGCAACTCGATCAACTGCTGGCATTGGGTTGAGATTAGCTTGTGACTCTAAAGGCTAGCTAATGCGTGTGGTTACATGACGAAGTAAATATTGTGATATTTCAGTTATTTTAGTCACTATTTCTATGGCAAAAACTATGGAAGAACAGGTCAATGAAAAACTTATTGAATTCGTGCTGAAGAAAATAGCCTGTGTGACACCGCAAATATATATTAGTTGATAAATGATTATAATAGTTAACATAAAATATATATTTATAATAATACTATTTAGAAAAGATAATGAAGTCCTTTTTGCACATTATTTTTCTCTTGGTTAAAAATTGTCTGTCATTTGCAAGCAGTCACTAATTCGCGTTTAGAGATCTCTATTAAAAGCCAGTGCTAGTCAAATTGTAGGCGAAGTCATTTACCATTGACTAATCTGGCCTCAGAATTAACGATGACGTAAATTGAACTTTGGTCGGACTGTTAGAGCGCTTTCAATTGAGTAAAATAGAATTTAGCAGTGAGGTCATCACACTTCCCACTCGAATATGTGATGCACTTCTCTGCATATAGCAATATCGATAATGAGCTGTCATTATCATGTGATCAGCGGAAATAAGGCACACGAATGTATAAAATTAAACTGTCGGCAGTTTATGTATTAGTGAAACAATAGAAACGTGCCGAAGTTAGGGTGGGTCCTTAAAAAGAGCGGTGCAAATATTATATCAGGGGTAGCCAAGGAAGTCAGCAACTGAAACAATTAAGGAGCAATCATCGCCGGAGAAGAGATATTTTGGCTTACGCACAACTTCGTCAACAAGTATCACAACCCGTGAGTGTATGGTGTACTACCGATTTCTTGTCATCAACAGACAGACTTATTGTTCCACAGAGGAATATCTCCGTACCATTCTATTAAACCAGAGTTTTTTTCCTTGAATTTCTCAAATACCACTTTAGTTATTTCAGTTAGTATGAATACATGTCACGGAAAGCGGGTTGCTCGCTGGGTTTCTGCCACCATGTTGATTTTCGCGTCGTTGCAGCTATCTGGTAAGTCAGTGAGCAAATTCTGTGCATTTGGAATTACAGTCATTACCGACCAAATATACCTAAATAATGCATTGTTTCTTTTTGGGCCATTTTAGGGGCAATAAGATGGGACAAACAGCCTGAAAAACCAACAATCTTGGTTGAAGGAGTAAACAACACTGGAGAGAGTCTGAAATTCGTCTGGAATTTCGTTACTGAGGAATCCGAAGTTATTGACAGAGTCACATTTCAAAGGCGAAGAGATAGTGCTGATCCAACGGAAGATATTGCAAGCAACAAAGAAGGAGGGGCGTTTAATGTTTTCCCGGAATTTACTTCAAACTACAGTGCAAGCCCTCTAGCTACACTGACTTTGAGAAATCCCGTGACCAACGACGACGAATTCATATATTCTATCGTGGTATCGCGCTCCAAAAATAACCTTCCTTTGCCAAGTCTTACGGACCAAGTACAGTTAATAGTGTTTGGTAAGTAAAATATCTCTTTCCTTCTACGTTTTTCAGTTATTTCTAACATATTCAGGCTTAAGGCGTCTTTCAAAAGACCCATCATAACGGGCCCCCATTGAAGGTCTCTAGAGTAAGCCGGGCGTCGTCAGTCCCCAAAATTTCCTCATTTACTGGTTTCTGACTNCAAATACCACTTTAGTTATTTCAGTTAGTATGAATACATGTCACGGAAAGCGGGTTGCTCGCTGGGTTTCTGCCACCATGTTGATTTTCGCGTCGTTGCAGCTATCTGGTAAGTCAGTGAGCAAATTCTGTCCATTGGAATTACAGTCATTACCGACCAAATATACCTAAATAATGCATTGTTTCTTTTTGGGCCATTTTAGGGGCAATAAGATGGGACAAACAGCCTCAAAAACCAACAATCTTGGTTGAAGGAGTAAACAACACTGGAGAGAGTCTGAAATTCGTCTGGAATTTCGTTACTGAGGAATCCGAAATTATTGACAGAGTCACATTTCAAAGGCGAAGAGATAATGCTGATCCAAGGGAAGATATTGCAAGCAACATAAAAGGAGGAGCGTTTAATGTTTTTGCGAAATTTAGTTCAAACTACAGTGCAAGCCCTCTAGCTACACTGACTTTAAGAAATCCCGTGACCAACGACGACGAGTTCATATATTCTATCGTGGTATCGCTCTCCAAAAATAACCTTGCTGCGCCAAGTGTTAGCGACGAAGTACAGTTAATAGTGTTTGGTAAGTAAAATATCTCTTTCCTTCTACGTTTTTCAGTTATTTCTAACATATTCAGGCTTAAGGCGTCTTTCAAAAGACCTATCATAACAGCTCCTCAGTGAAGGTCTCTGGAGTAAGCCGGGCGTCGTCAGTCCCCAAAATTTCCTCATTTACTGGTTTCTGACTCGTTTCTTAATTGATTGTGAGAGAGATTTATGAAACCAATTTACTTTACGTCATCCTGAAACTCTTGAGAAAAGTCTGAATAGTGGCGTATATATTTTTTGACAGTCCTTTTTTCAACAGTAATTTTGCGGTAAGCTCCGCATCAGTTACTTTCTCAATGAAACGTGCGTTCGTTGATGCTTGCCTTTAATCTGAAATTAACGTAATTGCCCTTTTTTTACCATTTCCGCACGCGCTATAATGTGTCAAAAGCCTCAGGCTATATTATGTAAGCTTTTAATTAGCTGACTTAAAGGAGAAGTTTGAAAATACTGAGCATATTCATAGTTTATTCCATCACAAAACCATCATTTTTCACGACACTACAAACTGCAGACAAATATCAACACTGTACTCGTTTTCTTCATGCGGTTCAGTTTTGAGTAAATTACTTTCAATCAATCATGTAATTAAGTTATACCAGTTATATAGCAGAGAAAAGGCTTTTTCGTTGCGTAAATTAACCGATTATAAAAGATCGGACCCTTTAAGTAGTGCAATTATTTTGAAAAAAGAAATTTCGGGCCATGCGAAAACGATTAACATCAATAAAGCTTATATTGGTCGCGTCATATTAGAGATAAAATATTCACACTATTTCACGCAAAGAATAAAAGAAGCAACTTTAAGGTAAATTGTCGTTGTCGCCCAATTATTTTGAAATCAAAAGTTATTTTATAACTTGTTTTGGAAGTTTGCGTTTTAGTTCTGAAATGCGTAGGAGTTACGCATGGTGACTCATGGAATGATTTGCATACAGAATCTACCACGACTCAGTGAATATTGAGTGTTATGTCATTTTTCGTCGTGTTCACAATATATGGATGCTAAATATATGATTCGAAGTTTCTGCGTGCAAAAACAGTTATGGTAACAGAAAAAGCGCATCAAGAGATCAGTTGTCGATCTCTTCAACTGGCATGGTTTTAATGTTCCTACTTTTAGATTGTAGACTCTAGTCAGTACCGACTGACTTTAAGGAAAACAAAGTAGCCATTCGTTTTATCCTTTCCGGACATCTGACAAACATCTTATAAACTTGGGTGTGCAGCAACTACATCGATAATCAACTTTTGGCTCAGGTCTACTTCATTCATGTACTTCTTTTAAAAAATTTTCTCCCCACTGACAATGCCGTAATTGTGAGATAGTAAATTACATTTTGAGGTCGTCATTAATGTTACTCAACCGTTTAAGCCGTGTGGTTGAAACTATTGGCCATATTTATGTGATCTACTTGACGGTTTTGAGACTTCACTAATTTTAGTGCAAGCACTTATTTCTTGGATTCATGAATTGGACGATTTCCTAAAAAGCCTGTAAAGTTACATGGAATCCCTTTTACGTCTACGTATGAAGTATTACTTCACTCATAATATTCACTGTAATATATACCAGCCACTCTGCTTTGAGGCCACCTTGAGCCCCAGCTGAGTAGAACCCTCCTTGAGGTAAAAGTTATTGTTATTCCGCCTTTTCCAAAACTTTAATCGTGAAATTTAGTTTTTCTCTGTTCAATATCTGTCTTGAAAGGATTCCGTAAGACCGTATATAATAGACGATATTCGTATTCCCCGACGGCCCTGGGACGAGAGACTTCACAGCATAATTGCGAGGCTAATTTAAAAGCGGGGAACCTTTTTAGCAAAAACAAAAACAAACATTGGTTAGTCGCGGCTGAATCGCTGCAAAACGATAGAAATCAGCAAAAAACTGGTAGATTTAAAAGCGAAAACCTTAGGGGTAAGCTAAAGGGATATCTGTTTCAAAAAACAAAACTGTGGGAAGAGCTGGTCGTACTAACAGCAAAAGTAAAAAAGTCACGAAGCCAAAAGGAGAGACAAGAAGTTATCAAGAATATGGTCTATTGTGTCGAAATGTCAATACTCGAATCCTTTTAATAAAATTTTATTCTTCTTATTATAATTCTTTTTCTCTTGCGTGTATCAGTCTGTAGCGTGGAGTTTAAACTCAGTATTATCGTCTGCACCAAACTCTGTGTTCAACTGCGTGCACGTTTTAGTACTCTCGCACAGTTGTTATCGAAGATAATGTAACTTAAATTTAAAAATAAACTTTACCTAGTCATCTTTGTTCAAACCGGTTTGACTTCCTTAAAATGCACATGGACTGTGTGCAGAACGCTAAGCGCCTAACTGATAAGTAATTATCCACTGAATGAGTCGTTTGCTTTACTTCAAATACACATTTAAGATTTTGCATCCGCTCTGTTAAAAAATTTAAACTGCAAAGTAGGTGTGATAATATCACCGTCAACTTTATCGCAGGCTTTCGATAAGTACGTCCATTTCAATATAAGATATTCTTCAAAAGGTTTAAAGGACACTGAGAATTACAATTAAAATGGCTTCGGGGATTTTAAGGACATCTCTGTTTATATTAAATTATAGACTCGCTCACCAAGCACTCTTCTCATCAATATAATTATGGTTGGGATCGCTGTTTTTCTTGGTAATAATGAGCAGATCTCCCTTTTGTTGTTTGAAAAAATGATGTCTCAAGTATGTAAGCCCTTCGAAACTTTACAATGTTAAAAATTTTCCTTAAATTCGGCAAACTCAGCCACAGTTTTTTCATATTTGTTTGCCCTCTTGGAGAGAAGGTCCCCGCATGAGCCTCGCATTCATGATCAAGGCCCACTCGTCCCAGGACTGTCGGAGAATACGAATTCTGTCTATTTTTAAATGGTACCGCCGGAGTTTTGTTCCAAGTTGTTTTTGTCTGTTGGCAATTAAGAGTGCATTTTTAGTGAAGACTCGTTTGGTAATTATTATGTTGTGCACGGTGAAACTAACCATAAATCAACTACTGAGTGCCGGCTTTATAGGAGAGCAAGGAATTTCAAGCACGAAATTCACCGCTGGCTGATGATTTTTATCGTGGCTTTTTAGTGATGGGGTTATTTTAGAACAAAGATTGAAAGATGCCTTAGTCTTGAAATCTTTTTCTAAAAAATTCTGATTTCGATAGTGTTCAAAAGTCGTGTGAATAGTTATGAAGATTGAGAACAATTTCTTCCATTATTTATGTAGTGTTTACAAGTTCCCTAAGCTTCCCTAAGGCTGTGAAAAATAACAAAAACAACTAACGAACAAATAAAACAATATAGGGAAACGATTATTTATTTGAGGAACACTGAATAATAACGTATTCATAGTTTCACAACTGTATCATAAATCGCCAATCTGAGTTCTCTATTACTACCATTTCAGAGCGTTTAAAGGCAATAACTCCCTCTAGGAAAGATATCAATGACAGTAGTGCGCAATTACTCCGCGGGGTAGACACTCATGAGCCTACACTATGCGAACATTAAACTATTAATAGTCGATACCCATGAAATAAAAGAATTATTGAGAGAGCCCTTCTAGCTGAATTTGCCGGTAAGAAGGACCAAAACCACATGAACTGAATTCTTGGAGGAAATAAAACACATAAAATTGCCTTTTAAAACGGTAGAAGTACAACTTTTCTAATTCTTATTAACAGCTCGTCCGACTTGTTTCCTTTCACAGGTTTAAACTGAATTTGAATTGGGTATGCGGCAGTGTTAAAATAAAGGATACTTTTCTTTGAAGGGTTCTGTTCATGGGTAACCTGCAAGCGGTTTGATGGCTCCTGTGGCCAGCGTAATCATTTCTTTTTTCGCCAGGAATAATGAAAGAAATTGCAGTTGTTTTAATCTGCGTTTTTTGTTTTCGACAGTGCCCCCAAGAATTACAACAGAGCCAGAGAGGGAGTCTAAAGTTAGCGTTGGAGACAATTTGACACTGACTTGCAATGTATCTGGTGACCCACTCCCAGAAGTCACATGGAGCAAAGATGGCCAAACGCTGAAACTGTTTAATGTTACTGGCCCAGTTCTGCATCTCGTTAACGTAACGAGGAAGGATGTTGGATCTTACAAATGCACAGCAAAAAATAAAGTTGGAGTGGTCTCTCACCCTGCCGCGGTTAACGTTGAATGTAAGTAATTTTTAGTTTCAATTATACTGTTAGCTATGCAATTGAAGTAATCAGTACCGTGCATTAACACGTTCAAGGTACTATCAAAAGGTATAGTTGCTTTGTTATTTTCTTGTGAACTATTATCTTGATAGGCTAAAATGAATGTAGTAGTTTGGAAACTGTGATAAAAGTTTGCCCTAACCACGACATTTGCCTCCGTCATTGATGAATGTGGGAAAACTGGTTCTCAAAAACTGATGAGCCGCGTTATTCAGTATTCAGTATTTAGCATAGATCAGACACCTTTCTATCTTTTCATTTCTGAGACAGAGGCATTGAATTAAACGTAAAAGTTGAAAGCAATTTATGAGCCTATTTTTGTGTTATTACTTTTGGCAAAATTTAGAATCCTTGTCGTCCCATGTAAGAGAATCTGTACTCCGAAATCCGGGAAATTTTTGCTCGTGGCGAATTCGGAATCCAGGAATTTTTTGCTTGGAATCCGGAATACCGTTGAAGGAAACCGGAATCCCGTTAACGATTGAAATCCGGATTCCAAGTTCCACTGACACAGAATCCGGAATGCCGCGGCGTGAGTACCTGAAATCGACAAAACCAGACTGTCTTGGATTCCCTTTTAAACGTGGGGCGATTTTTGAAACGCTGTGCAGTTGCCTGCAGAAAGATACTTTGGGACTGTTATCAGTTTTGAGTAGAATCGCATAGTTGAGTAAAATCTCGCATTCTGATTGGTTAACGAAGCGAGGTATTTAGTCTGGAATTGCAAGTTGAAAACGAGGCTAAGCGATATTGTTTTGTTTTGAATCTACGTAACAACTATCGTTAAATTCTGACACAACAACTGCAAAAAAGGTTTTCTACCATGTCATTTTGAAATGTTTTCAAAACCATTGTCACCTTTTGAAGAGTTGAAAACAAACAAAAGCGTTTTTAAAATTGAGCCGGAGGTTCTTCCTTGTTTTGAAGTGAACTACAAATTCTCGGAGAGACATAAACTAACCTCTTTCGCTCGCAAACACGTGAAAACAAGAAAATCCTGTGAACACAGCCCAGAAAATGGTAAGTCAAAGTTCAACCAAACAAAACGGAGAAGCGACAACGGAGGAAGTGCCAGGGTCGATCGTCACATAAATCCATTACCATATTTGTAGCTAGCATTTAACCGGTGTAAAACATATTGTTGAGGTCCATTGTTGGTAAAGCAGTTCTTAGCTTGTAGAGTCCATCAAGCCTCTAATTTTTTAAAGCAAATATACTTATTTTTCTCTTTTATGTCTGCGATTGATAGGTCCAGAAAACCAGTGTGAGGATCATGAATTTGGAATTAGAATAACAAGCATAAGATGGATACAAGCTTTTAACAACTCCAATGCAATTGAATATAAATCCTTGAAATCAAACGTTACATCAGAAGTAAGTCAACAACCCTGGCTTTTGCCGTTTGGCTTTCCCTTATCATTTGCTAATAAAAGAGTAACACAGAATTAAACAATGGCTGTATAATTTCTTTTTCGTCAGGTTACTTACAAGCTAAAATAATGGGAAACCCGAACCAAATTAACCAAATGCCGAAAAAAAAAACCCGGCTAATTGGGGACACTTACAACTGGAAAATGCACATATCTACTTAAGTGATATTGTGAACGTCCAGGATCTAGATTAATGAGGGTATTATTACATTTGTGGCTTATATCAACAGGGTGACTCTGTGTTTAATCGGTCTGTCATCAAAGAATGTATTGAAGGAAATTCACCTGTTTCTTTCACAGATTGCAAGAATCTACACCCAATCTCAAAATGCCGAAAAGCAACTATATGGTATAACTATTGTGGAGTTTAGGTATGGTATATGTAATTATTTATCGTTGACATGCAATCATGTAATTGTTGCAAGAAAAAAAAAACAGAAGAAAACTGTATACGAATAAACGATAGCTGGAGGGCATTGCAAAAGAATTAAAACCTCTCGAGAATAACAACTTCTTTTGTCAATTACATCATTATATCCTATATCTTAACCACAGTCGATTTATGACCTTGTTAATATAGAAGCTTATCTAGCAATTCATGGGGCATGAGTATGATAATGATGAGGTAAAGGAGAGATCTGAATAATTTCTCAAATCATCCGAAAGCCTAATCCATGCGATAATAGTTTTATTATTCTTTAAAAAGATGCCTAAACATAAAAACAAGCTAAAACATGCTTAACCTGGATCGATGCTAAGTTCTCGCCTTTATCTTCCAGCTTCTGGGCAGGTTTATGATACTCAGGGCACTAATAAGCATGACTATCTAATTAAATATGCACATTTTATCAATGATCGTGAAAATTGGACTACTAATGTAGCTTAATAGCCTTAGCAATGTGAGACATTTAAGAAGCTCAACTTTTCGTCACGTGACTTATAATTGAGAATTAACGGTCAAAATATTTATTGTAAAATGGGGAAAGGATAATGAAAGAGCAACACGTTCTTTTAGGTACATTTCAGAGGTTATTAAAAAGGTTCTCAACAATTTGCCTTGTATGTGTGTTTACGTCATATAGGAATCGGTAAATGAAGGGAAAATGGTCACGTGACTTGTTAATTAGTCAAATACCTAATAGGATAAGTAACATTTCCAACCATTCAAGACGAATTAACGATTTACTCGTTTATGTAACATTTTGGTCGTGAAAATTCTTAAGATGAAGGTTTGCAACCCTTCCCCGTTTGGGAAGTCATAAGTAGCAGGTGGTCAAGCCATTTTTGAGTGAATATGCATGTTTTTTCACCTTTTTTCAACAGTAAAAGTTAAACTTGTGGATGAAATGATGCATAGTAATTATTTATGTGTCATTTTACATGTTAAGCGCAAAAATTCTCACTGTTTTCACTTGATTTCTAACTCTTGATAAAATCTAAGATGGCGACCATGTTTGGTGACGTGACAGACCTCAAACAGCGCTACCACCCATAAAACATAACCCATCTTGTAGAGAATATCAAAGGCTTTCCACTGAAGACAAAATCGTTTCGAAATACTGCCATCATCCCCGCCCCCCTTGTACCACGGTGGGAGTATGACTTTGCATATACGTCCGAGGGTTAAGGGCTTGTTTACATGAAGGTGGGGGACCCCAGGTGTAACCCGCTTAGCTGGGATAACCTGCCTGTCCATAAAATCTCTCATCGCGTTTACATGATAGGAGGGGTGAGACCGCCGAGGGGGGTTGCCCAGCCTGCCAGACCAGGTAACCCTTCTCAACCAGGGTAAAATTTTTCCATGTAAACGTTTCATGAAGGCAGGGTAATAGAAGAGAACTGACCGCCAAAACACGTCATTTGCATGCCATTTTTGTTTTGTTGTTTTGTTTTTGTTTTTTTTTCTTATTATTTTTAGGTGCTTTGCACCCATTCAACAATCCTCAAAAAGTGCACTGCGGGATGGTTGGGTTATTTTTGTTCCGACCTGAGGGGGTTACCTCACCTACCTGGGCTCACAGACCTCCACGTAAACGAGCCCTAAGATATATTTTGTTTTCAGAGAAGGAAGTACCATTGCTGTTGTTCGCCTACGATTTGAAAGAAACATCAGCGAACCCTTGAAGCCTTTGGAAGATGCTATCAAAGATGGCATATTGGGGCAGAATATCAGAGTTGATACACAGCTCCTTAATACAAGTATGTCAAGCTCCAATCAATTCACTCCAAGTCAATCCAGTAGGTACCATTAGTTAAATCTTAACGACGCTGACAGACACGATAAGGACTACATTATAATCACGTGACAGGGATAATAAAGAGAAACTCAAAACCTGACTCGTAAATTCCACATCAAATTGCACGGAAATACGGATCAATCAAATTTCATTTATTATTATTTTTATTACAGTCGAAGCAGGTCAAGCGTTGCTGTCGCTAACGAACTAATGAATTCATTAATGGAGACACGATTTCGTTTGTTGATTTAAAAAGCGAAAGTTGATTCGATTACTGTTTTTTGAAAAACTATACACTTTCCTCAAGTCGACCTCAGAATTTTGTTTTTTCTTCTTTTTTGCCAAGAGTCGAGTGCGGGCGAGTTCGGAAGTTCAAACCCATACAAACTGTCACATGTACGCCAATATGCTGAGAAATCAGTGCAACAAACCTGGGTCGGGTTGCATAAAACATCTTAAGATTAAGGAACCAAGAACGAGAAGTCCAAAGACTACTGCAAAGCTGATGAAAAAAACAATACACGTTCTTCTGAATCAGCTTTGCAGTAGTCTTTCGACTTCTCGTTCTTGGGTCTTTATATTTGGCTGATTAGATCTCTTTTCTAGAGATCCAACTTGTACAACTAGCAGGATCTTCGTCTACAGTTTTTGCAGTTAATTTAATCCTTTATTAAGATTAAGGGAGCTCGTAACTATTATTTCTGAACAATAGGTTATTGTTTCAGGACAAAAGTTAAGGCCGGGTTGAAAGCTGGCTCGACTGTAGCTCGACTGCAGCACGACACTAGCACGACTTGGTTTCAGACGTCGAATGGAACGGCTGTTGCCAAAAACAGAACACAAAAATAAAGAAACGGTTTAGCGAACTTTTAAGTATATTCTAATGTATTTATAATTTATGAATGGAGTTCGGCACGGCGGTAGCACGACGTTTAAAACCAAGTCGAGCTACCGCCGTGTAGCACGGCAAGATTTGCCATGCTACACGGCAGTAGCACGACTTGGTTTCAGACGTCGCGCTACTGCCGTGCTAAAGTCGAATTTAATTCGATCAATTGAGTTCGGCACGGCAGTAGCACGACGTTTGAAACTGGCCTAAGAACCCTCTTATCTTAAGAAGGCTTTATGCAACCTGGCCCAGACCTCTTAGAAAACACGATGGTCAAACTGAGGTCGGTGTATGTGCGGTGATTGGTGGATTTCGATCCTCGGCCTTTGTCAGTTTCTTTGCGTTTGCGGTCTGTCTATTCTAGTTATTATTTTGATTAAAGGCAATGAAAAACGCAATCGTAAACGGTGGGAAAAGGGAAGCAAATACGATTGAACAACAGACAAGAATAAAAAACAGGTAGACTTCGTTCATAATTTAAATCAACATTTAATTATTGAATCGAGGTCCAATTTGACTATTGGATTATTCATTTAATGAATGGATTATTGAATCAACAAACCGAATCATTTTTCCATTTATTCATTCGACTAGCGACAGCAATGCTTGACATGCTTTGACTGACCTTTCATAAAAAAAACGCCCTCCTTGGTCAGTATGTTTGTTTCTATACTTTTAACCCTTTCGAAAATGTCAAGTCACACTACGAAGTGCATACTGAAATACAGTGAAGGTATCTATAGGGCAAATTTTCAACGTTTTATTTTGCCCTCAAAATCTTTCTACGGTATTAAAGTTCAGATGACGTAACTGATGCATATGTGAACATACCTTTGCATTTAAGAAAAAATCTACTCAAAAGATTACCGATTTAGTGGAAGTTAAAAAAATTTTTTTCATAATTTCGGTTACTAAGAAAAGAGACTGCAGGAGACGGCAGGAGCGCAATTTGACTCCTCTTTTTAGCATCAAGTTCTATTGATGCGCTCAACAAAATTTATTGACTGCTTTGATTCGTTGAGAAACTACAGCCTCTGTATGTCCAACTTGATTTCTCTTGCTTCTGTTCAAACTGTGATGACTAATATTACTTGCTTATTGTCAAAACTCGTTATGTTCTTGAAATATACTCATTTTCCAGGAATTTATATTACATTTGCGTGTCTTCTCACCAGATAAATTCTGACAATTTTGCAGGGAGAGTACAACGTTTTTTTGGCCCTATTCCTCTGGTCTGTTTTTCTGCCGATTTCCTTCTCTTTACAGAAGCAATTCTTTTCAGTTTTGAATTAAACGTCTTTTTTAATCTTCATACTTCGGCGCCCCTCATTGCGTTAAAACTGACACTGAGTAATATATCTTCCGGAAGTGCGTCACACCTCATTTGGCAACTACCTTATTCTCCTTAATTTTCGCGGGTTCTTAAATTCGCGATTTTCGCGATTTTAAAAAATTCGCGGATTTAAAGATCCGCGAAACATAACGACCGCGAACTTTGATTTCGCGAAATTTAATGGACATAGAAATATCATGCATTTGTGCTTTCAAGGGTCCTAAACAATTTTTAACACAAGGTGTTAGTACAAGGAGCTATCATCTATCAACTTTAGATGTTAATCAGTGTCAAGATTCGCCTCAAGTTCTTCTTCGGCATCTGAGTAATAAATTGACCATCCTGTCCCGGCTCCTTGTAGTGTGTAGTTACGAGTGTCTTGTATCTTTCCATTATTGCCCTGTTCCTTGGTGTATCGTCCATTTCACATATCACCTCAACAGGGACAGCATAATGGTTTTGTTTCAATTGTTGATTAACGTAAAAGTTTTGAAAAAAGAAAAAAAAAGTCACTTAATCGTCAATTTCGCGAAATTAAATTCCCTGCAAACACAATTTTTCTCTGCTATCGCGAAATTAAAGACTCGCGAAAAGTGCCGAGAAAATTTTCGCGAAATTTAAGTCCCGCGAAAATAAAGGAGAATAAGGTAGTCACGTATCAAAATCCAAGGGGGCTACAGAAAGGTTATACTTGGCACCTTTTTACGCTTCCACGAGCATTTCACACAGCGGTGATTCAAAATGGCGGGCGAGAAGGTCTGTGATGGTAGTATCCAGGAAAAACAGTTGATTTTGAGAAGAAAATAAGCTTTAATTGTTACCTACACTGGAAAACGGTTAATTACCACGTGACCGATTTACCTTGACTTTCGTGGAGGAATGGATTATTATTTCTTTGTGAAATTTGGCAAATACACAAAGAGCATGTTAATGAAGAGATCTGTGTTCGACCAAAGGTTAGCTAAAATTGCCGTACAGCTGAATTATTCGGATGTCAAAATGTGGATGAAATTACAAAACAGCAAATTGTGCCCTGGAACGTGGATTAATTGGAGCTGTGTCGTGGTCGAACAGGATTATTCTATCTTACGTCCTTATTTGTGTTACATTTCATTTGGGAATTTCTTTTTAACAAAAATTTTAAGTATTCTTCTGAAATGTGGATTTTTTTTCTTTCCGTGCCATCCTAGGGGGTAATTAAATTAACACCTTTTGGATGACATAGCTAGCATAGTTTATGTTGATATATTGTAGTTCCTCAAGAACTAAGGAATACCGTCAATGTAGTGATATGTAGATATCATCCATAAAATAGCTATTAAAAATGACGGAAGAATGTGCAAAATTTGCCGGTGCAGATACCTTAACAGCAGTCTACAGTCTGAAGTTCGAGATTGGCTTAAAGGAAAAGTCCGTTTTTGATATTTTGCATTCACTTCAAGTTATATTTATCACATTTTTTCAAACTATTTCAAAGTGATATGAGGAAAACAAAAGTGAAAGGCTTGTCTACCTCTTTGGAAAATGACGTTGATATTTCGTTTGATTTCCATGCATAAGATTGGTCTTTCTTCAGTGGACACTATGGGCTGTTTAGAGGCGGTGCATTGAAATAATAACACGACGATGATGACGATTACGGTAATGATGATAAAAAAATTACGTGTAAGTTAAACGTTACATTATATATAACATCACTTGTGACCTTCATATAGCAATGCTACCACACCCAACCACTGAAGAACCAACAACCGATGATGTTGATGGGGGTCCTTCATCAAATGGTCTATCAGCAGCTGAAATTGGCGGTATCGTTGGAGGATCGGTCGGATTTGTTGTAATCCTCATCATTGTCAGCCTCGTTATCTTCTTCCGTTGCCAGCCTAAAAAAGGTACGCTTCATTTGATAGGATTGTTTTCGCCATTTGCAGTCAAAGGTATCGAAAATTCCCTCTTGGATATGTTTCAGCTAAGGAAATTGTCATGATACTTATATTGCAAGACAGCGCCTTCTTAATGGTGTTAAGGGGGAAGTTTGATTGTTGTTGTTGTTGTTGTTGTTGTTGTTGTTGTTGTTGTTATTGTTTTGGAGGAATGGGGATATTTTAATTGAGAGTTGAAGAAAAAAGGGTGCATAAACTTCAACCACTTAGTCCTCTGATTGTGGTGAGCCGTTTGTTATTTATCTACACCACTAATTATTTCCGGGAATTTTCAACAACCCCAGCTTAATTCAGGATATTCTCTAGTTTTCCATATTTTTAAACAATTATTTTAAGCATTTATTTATTGAAAACATCTCAAAAATCATCCAAAAATTCTTAGACATACATTCGACTCCCGATAATTCAAATCTTCAAGGGAAGTAGAAAAAAGTTCGAGTTATCAGGAGTTCGAGTTATCGAGGGTAAAATTATTTAGAAAATGATCTAAAGGGAAATGAAAATTGCCTCGAGTTAGCAGCTGGAGGCTCGAATTATAGAGGGTTCGAGTTAACCGGAGGTCAACTGTACTAGCATTGAACCAATGAATCCGACCCCCCTGAGTCATTATATGATTGAAAGAAATCTTGTCCATGGCTAGATTTTGAAGAAAAAGGGAAATAATTCGTGCTATCTACTTGTTATTGAGAACAATAGATAGTGTAATAGTCGAATATATAAGGGCAATTTCCTCGTTTTCATTTTTCATTTTGACTACCGCTTTATTTTAATATAGCTAAAGCTATCCCTGTTACCAACCAGCTTTACTATAAATTTTCCATTCTTTAGCAGGCAAATCATTCAGTGAAGCAGACGGATATCGCATGTAAGTACATTTGATATTAATCAATATCTCTCGCTATTAAAACGGAGAAAAATTAAGACCCGACACACGGTAACCACTTTGGGGAAAGTTAACTCTTTGTTGAGCTGAAGGTGAAAATTTTTAAAGTTCTATCAAGAATTTTTTACTTAGGGGGGCCCCACCATGGTCCTAAAGGTTGTGATAATGAAGACTCGCGGCAACCTCGGTCCGAAACGCTCTCTCTACACAATGGTAAGGGAAGAAAAGGAGCAAGAGCATATGTCTAGGTTTGGTTGCAGGAACACGATTGCTGCGCTTCTTGTTTTTTGCTAGTTTTTTTACTTACTAGATATCTGCGAGTAGTGCGTAAAACCTGTTCTTGGTTTAATCTTACTTTCCTTTGTCTTACATTGCCATACCCTAAAACTGAACCAAAGCATATACGTGACACCTGCCTTATACCTGATCGCTTTGTGAAGATCATTGTTTAGCTACAGTTTCATGCATGGATTGATATAGCCCTATCATGCACAATCAGTTGTAGTGTGGAGAAAAACTATAACACTGCGCACGGTGGTACTCGTTTTAGTCGAGGCATCACTAGAAACTACAGTTGACTCCCGATAACTCGAACCCTCGCTAACTCGAACCTCGCGTCAACTCAAACCAAAATCGATTTCCCCTGGATTTCCGTCATACATTTACTGTAATTTTACCCTCGGTAACTCGAACCCTCGATAACTCGAAACTCCCGCTAACTCGAAGTAATTTTTGTTTCCCCTCAGATCAGTTCTAAGGAGAGCGTGGGTGAAAGAAGGTGAGGAGGGGTGTTTCGGATAATTATTAGATTGTATTGGGGGGGTTTAATTAAAAAAAAAAATATGTTAAGGGGGGGACGGGTAAATTTCTTTTGGTTTTGCCTAAAAACCCCCGCCCCCCCCCCCCCCCCCAGGCGATAAATAATGACCGGCCCCTAAGAGTGCATTTTTAGTGAAGACTCGTTCGGTAATTATTATGTTGTGCACGGTGAAACTAACCATAAATCAACTACTGAGTGTCGGCTTTATAAGAGAGCAAGGAATTTCAAGCACGAACTTCACCGCTGGCTGATGGTTTTTATCGTGGCTTTTTAGTGATGGGGTTATTTTAGAACAAAGATTGAAAGATGCCTTAGTCTTGAAATCTTTTTCTAAAAAATTCTAATTTCGATAGTGTTCAAAAGTCCTGTGAATAGTTATGAAGATTGAGAACAATTTTTTCCATTATTTATGTCGTGTTTACAAGTTCCCTAAGCCTCCCTAAGGCTGTGAAAAATAACAAAAACAACTAACGAACAAATAAAACAATATAGGGAAACGATTATTTATTTGAGGAACACTGAATGATAACGTATTCATAGTTTCACAACTGTATCATAAATCGCCAATCTGAGTTCTCTATTACTACCATTTCAGAGCGTTTTAAGGCAATAACTCCCTCTAGGAAAGATATCAATGATAGTAGTGCGCAATTACTCCGCGGGGTAGACACTCATGAGCCTACACTATGCAAACATTAAACTATTAATCGTCGATACCCATGAAATAAAAGAATTATTGAGAGAGCTCTTCTAGCTGAATTTGCCGGTAAGAAGGACCAAAACCACATGAACTGAATTCTTGGAGGAAATAAAACACATAAAATTGCCTTTTAAAACGGTAGAAGTACGACTTTTCGAATTCTTATTAACGGCTCGTCCGACTTGTTTCCTTTCACAGGTTTAAACTGAATTTGAATTGGGTATGCGGCAGTGTTAAAATAAAGGATACTTTTCTTTGAAGGGTTCTGTTCATGGGTAACCTGCAAGCGGTCTAATTTCTCCTGTGGCTGGCGTAATCATTTCTTTTTTCGCCCGGAATAATGAAAGAAATTGCACTTGTTTTAATCTGCGTTTTTTGTTTTCGACAGTACCCCCAAGAATTACAACAGAGCCAGAGAGGGAGTCTAAAGTTAGGGTTGGAGACAATTTGACACTGACTTGCAATGTATCTGGTGACCCACTCCCAGAAGTCACATGGAGCAAAGAGGGCCAAACGCTGAAACTGTTTAATGTTACTGGCCCAGTTCTGCATCTCAATAACGTAACGAGGAGGGATGTTGGATCTTACAAATGCACAGCAAAAAATAAAGTTGGAGAGGTCTCTCACCCTGCCGCGGTTAACGTTGAATGTAAGTAATTTTTAGTTTCAATTATACTATTAACTGTGTAATTGAAGTAATCAGTACCGTGCATTAGCACGTTCAAGGTACTATAAAAAGGTGCAGTTGCTTTGTTATTTTCTTGTGAACTATTATCTTGATAGGCTAAAATGAATGTAGTAGTTTGGAAACTGCGATAAAAGTTTGCCCTAACCACGACATTTGCCTCCGTCAGTGATGAATGTGGGAAAACTAGTTCTCAAAAACTGATGAGCCGCGTTATCCAGTATAGCGTAGGTCAGACACCTTTCTATCTTTTCATTTCTGAGGCAGAGGCATTGAATTAAACGTAAAAGTTGAAAGCAATTTATGAGCCTATTTTTGTGTTATTACTTTGCAAAATTTAGAATCCTTGTCGTCCCATGTAAGAGAATCTGTACTCCGAAATCCGGGAAATTTTTGCTCGTGGCGAATTCGGAATCGAGGAATTTTTTGCTTGGAATCCGGAATACCGTTGAAGGAAACCGGAATGCCGTTAACGATTGAAATCCGGATTCCAAGTTCCACTGACACAGAATCCGGAATGCCGCCGCGTGAGTACCTGGAATCGACAAGACCAGACTGTTTTGGATTCCCTTTTAAACGTGGGGCGATTTTTGAAACGCTCTGCAGTTGCCTGCAGAAAGATACTTTGGGACTGTTATCAGTTTTGAGTAGAATCGCATAATTGAGTAGAATCTCGCATTCTGATTGGTTAACGAAGCGAGGTATTTAGTCTGGAATTGCAAGTTGAAAACGAGGCTAAGCGATATTGTTTTGTTTTGAATCTACGCAACAACTATCGTTAAATTCTAACAAAACAACTGCAAAAAAGGTTTTCTACAATGTCATTTTGAAATGTTTTCAAAACCATTGTCACCTTTTGAAGAGATGAAAACAAACAGAAGCGTTTTTAAAATTGAGCCGGAGATTCTTCCTTGTTTTGAAGTGAACTACAAATTCTCGCTCGTAACCACGAGAAAACAAGAAAATCCAGTGAACACAGCCCAGAAAATGGTAAGCCAAAGTTCAACCAAACAAAGCGGAGAAGCGACAACGGAGAAAGTGCCACGGTCGATCGTCACATGTACAGAAGAAGAGATAAATACCTTCAAAGACGACGTGGCCCCTGAAAACACGAAAAAGAGTACGCCGCTTGCAATCGTCTGAGTCAATAGCTATTGACTCAGAGCCCATTCGGGCTCGAGGAATAATTGTTAAATAGTATCACTGAGAGGTTCATATTTTTTGTAATGGATTCATAATAACCGTCACATAAATCCATTACCATATTTGTAGCTAGCATTTAACCGGTGTAAAACATATTGTTGAGGTCTATTGTTGGTAAAGCAGTTCTTAGCTTGTAGAGTCCATCAAGCTTCTAATTTTTTAAAGCAAATATACTTATTTTTCTCTTTTTATGTCTGCGATTGATAGGTCCAGAAAACCAGTGTGAGGATCATGAATTTGGAATTAGAATAACAAACATCAGATGGATACAAGCCTTTAACAACTCCAATGCAATTGAATATAAATCCTTGAAATCAAACGTCACATCAGAAGTAAGTCAATAACCCTGGCTTTTGTCGTTTGGCTTTCCCTTATCATTTGCTAATAAAAGAGTAACACAGAATTATTAAGCAATGGCTGTATAATTTCTTTTTTGTCAGGTTTACAATCTAAAGTAATGGGAAACCCGAGCCAAATTAACCAAATGCCGAAAAAAAACCCGCCTAATTGGGGACACTTACAACTGGAAAATTGCACATATCTACTTAAGTGATATTGTGAACTTCCAGGATCTAGATTAATGAGGGTATAATACATTTGTGGCTTGTATCAACAGGGTGACTCTGTGTTTAATCGGTCTGTCATCAAAAAATGTATTGAAGGAAATTCACCTGTTTCTTTCACAGATTGCAAGAATCTACACCCAATCTCAAAGTGCCGAAAAGCAACTATATGGTATAACTATTGTGGAGTTTAGGTATGGTATATGTAATTATTTATCGTTGACATGCAATCATGTAATAGTTACAAGAAAAAAAAAACAGAAGAAAATTGTATACGAATAAACGATAGCTGGAGGGCATTAGAAAAGAATTAAAACCTCTCGAGAATAACAACTTCTTTTGTTAATTACATCATTATATGCTATATCTTAACCACAGTCGATTCATGACCTTGTTAATATGGAAGCTTATCTAGCAATTCATGGAGCATGAGTATGATAATGATGAGGTAAAGGAGAGATCTGAATAATTTCTCAAATCATCCGAAAGCCTAATCCATGCGATAATAATTTTATTATTCTTTCAAAACATGCTTAAACATAAACACAAGCTAAAACATGCTTAACCTGGATCGATGCTAAGTTCTCGTCTTTATCTTCCAGCTGATGAAATCACGTTTTACGTGTTTTTTTTTTTTTCATCGAGCCACGTTTTTAACTCACTTTTCAGGATCACTGATGGAAGCAAACCGGTTTAAATAACATTTTACAAAATATGCATGTTTAATTAAATAGTCATGCCTTAATTGGCCTGAGTATAAAATATCCTAAGAAAATATCCAACACCTCGCAATGCCGCCACTGGTTTCTCCGCGAAATAAAGTCTAAGGAATGGACCCAGATATTCCTTACTAACGTATGACGCGTCACTATCCAGATCTGGGTCAGTACTACTGATTGGCTGGCATACTGAAGACACGTCACTACCCATCAAAACTGGGCAAGGCCTTTGATTGCAGGAAAATTTCTTCAACCAATCAGAAGCACTATCCACTTTTTATGGGTAGTGACGTGTCATAAGTATGGAATTTCTGCGCTTGTTACCCTAGGTCATTTCTCGGGAAAACCACTGGCGGTGTCACGAAATGACGGCTGTTCAGTGTTTTCTCAAGCTAGATATAAAGGGATGTTAGGTATAACATATATTCTTTAGTTAAATTGCAGATATCATCCGTTGAGCTGTATTCTTTTGTTTTTGCTATGTTTTTAAGTAGCAACCGGGATATTTTGTTTTTCTTCGAAAAACGAGTGAAATGATCCGCCATCATATTTTACTGCTCTACCGAAATAATGAAACCCTGTTCCCCGGGGTTCTCGGTTGTTGTCCCTTTATCTGGCGGTTTTCCAGATATCGCAAACGTCTTTCAAATTTGTACAGTGATTGCTGGGTTAAAAGAGTTAGCCGAGGGATTTGGGCCAATCAGAAACAGACATAGTTTAAATGAATAATGAACAAGCTTAATTGAAAGCTGCACAATTAATATTTCAAATTGATTGCATACAGTAATTGCTTAATTCTCGGACGTAGGAAGGGGGACGTTGCCCCCCCTCCTTTTTTCTGATTTTTTTCCTAGACGATAAAACATCAGCACCTGAAGTTTTCTGTAGCTGTTTGTTTATCCTTCGCGCGCATTTTGAGAAAAGTTTAGTGATGGTCCGTTACTATGGTTACGAGATAAGTAGCAAGTAACGTCATAAGTAGCAGGTCAAGCCATTTTTGAGTGAATATGCATGTTTTTTCACCTTTTTTCAACAGTAAAAGCTAAACTTGTGGATGAAATGATGCATAGTAATTATTTATGTGTCATAAAGTAACGTCATAAGTAGCAGGTCAAGCCATTTTTGAGTGAATATGCATGTTTTTTCACATTTTTTCAACAGTAAAAGCTAAACTTGTGGATGAAATGATGCATAGTAATTATTTATGTGTCATTTTACATGTTAAGCGCAAAAAAATTATCAATTCTCACTGTTTTCACTTGCTTTCTAACTCTTGATAAAATCCAAGATGGCGACCATGTTTGGTGACGTGACTGACCTCAAACAGCGCTACCACCCATAAAACATAACCTATCTTGTAAACAATATCAAAGGCTTTCCACTGAAGGCAAAATCGCTTTGAAATACTGCCATCATCCCCGCGTCCCTTGTACCCCGGTAGGAGTATGACTTTGCATATACGTCCGAGGGTTAAGGGCCTGTTTACATGAAGGTGGGGGACCCCAGGTGTAACCCGCTTAGCTGGGATAACCTGCCTGTCCATAAAATCTATCATCGCGTTTAAATGATAGGAGGGGAGAGACCGCCAAGGGGGTTGCCCAGCTTGAGGTAACCAATCTCAACCAGGGTCACATTTTTTCCATGTCAACGTTTCATGAAGATAGGGTGATAGAAGAGAATTGACCGCCAAAACACGTCATTTGCGTGCCATTTTTGTTGTGTTGTGTTTTGTTGCGTTTCGTTTTTGTTTTTGTTTCTTCTTATTTTTAAGTGCTTTGCGACCATTCAACAATCATCAATAAGTGCACTGAGGAATGGTTGGGTTATTTTTGTTCCGACCTGAGGGGGTTAAAACCTACTTGGGCTCCCAGACCTCCGAGTAAACGAGCCCTAAGATATATTTCATTTTCAGAGAAGGAAGTACCATTGCTGTTGTTCGCCTACGATTTGAAAGAAACATCAGCGACCCCTTGAAGCCTTTGGAAGATGCTATCAAAGATGGCATATTGGGGCGGAATATCAGAGTTGAGACACGGCTCCTTAATACAAGTATGTCAAGCTCCAATCAATTCACTCCAAGTCAATCCAGTAGGTACCATTAGTTAAATCTTAACGACGGTGACAGACATGAAAAGGACTACATTATAATCACGTGACAGGGATAATAAAGGGAAACTCACAACCTGACTCCTAAATTCCACATCAAATTGCACGGAAATACGGATCAATCAAATTTCATTTATTATTATTTTTATTACAGTCGAAGCAGGTCAAGCGTTGCTGTCGCTAACGAACTAATGAAATGATTTCGTTTGTTGATTTAAAAATAGAATGTTGATTCGATTCCTGTTTTTTGAAAAACTACAATTTCCTCAAGTCGACCTCAGAATTCTGTTTTTTCTTCTTTTTTGCCAAGAGTCAAGTGCGGGCGAGTTCTGAAGTTCAAACCCATACAAACTGTCACATGTACGCCAATTTGCCGCCAGAAATCAGTGCAACAGACATGGGTCGGGTGGCATAAAACATCTTAAGATTAAGGAACCAAGAACAAGAAGTCCAAATGCTACTGTAAAGCTGATGAAAAAACAATACACGTTGTTCTGAATCTGCTTTGCAGTAGCCTTTCGACTTCTCGTTCTTGGTTCTTTATATTTTGGCTGATTAGATCTCTTTTCTAGAGATCCGACGTTTACAACTAGCAGGATCTTCGTCCACGGTTTTTGCAGTTAATTTAATCCTTTATTAAGATTAAGGGAGCTCGTAACTATTATTTCTAAACAATAGGTTATTGTTTCAGAAAAAAAGTTAAGAGCCCTCTTATCTTAAGACGGCTTAATGCAATCTGGCCCAGACCTCTTAGAAAACATGATGGTCAAACTGAGGTCAGTGTATGTGCCGTGATTGGTGGATTTCGACTCTCGGCCTTTGTCAGTTTCTTCGCGTTTGCAGTCTGTCTATTCTAGCTGTTATTTTGATTAAAGGCAATGAAAAACGCAATCGTAAACGGTAGGAAAAGGAAAGCAAATACGATTGAACACAACAGACAAGAATAAAGAACAGGTAGACTTTGTTCATGAACCAAATCAATATTTAATTATTCAATCGAGGTGCAATTTGACTATTGGATTATTCATTTTCTGAATGGATTATTGAATCAACAAACCGAATCATTTTTCCATTTATTCATTCGACTAGCGACAAGAAGGCTTGACATGCATTCAAACTGTGATGACTAATATTACTTGCTTATTGTCAAAATTCGCTATGTTCTTGAATTATACTCCTTTTTCCAGGACTTTAATATTATTGTATAAAATTTAACGTAAATTTAAATTTAAATTACATTTACGTGTTTTCTCACCAGATAAAGTCTGACAATTTTGCAGGGAGAGTACAACGTTTTTTTGGCCCTATTCCTCTGGTCTGTTTTTCTGCCGATTTCTTTCTCTTAACAGAAGCAATTCTTTTCAGTTTTGAATAAAACTTCTTTTTTAATCTTCATACTTCGGGCGTCCCCCATTGCGTTAAAACTGAAACTGAGTAACGCGTCTTCCGGAAGTGCGTCACACCTCATTTAGCAACTAGTCACGAATCAAAATCCAAGGGGGCCACAGAGAGGTTATACTTGGCGCTCTTTCACGCTTCCACGAGCATTTCACACAGCAGTGATTCAAAAAGGTGGCCGAAAAGGTCCGTGATGGAAGTATCCAGGAAAAACAGTTGATTTTGAGAAGAAAAGAAGCTTTAATTTTTACCTACACTAGAAAACCGTTAATTACTACGTGACCGATTTACCTTGACTTTTGTGGAGGAATGGATTATTATTTCTTTGTGAAATTTGGCAAATACGCAAAGAGCATGTTAATGAAGAGATCTGTGTTCGACCAAAGGTTAGCTAAAATTGCCGTGCAGCTGTATTATTCGGATTTCAAAATGTGGATGAAATTACAAAACAGCAAATTGTGCCCTGGAACGTGGATTTATTGGAGCTGTGTCGTGGTCGAACTGGATTATTCTATCTTACGTCCTTATTTGTGTTACATTTCATTCGGGAATTTCTTTTTAACAATAATTCTAAGGATTCTTCTGAAATTTGGATTTTTTTCTTTCCGTGCCATCCTAGGGGGTAATTAAATTAACACATTTTGGATGACATAGCTAACATAGTTTATTTTGATGTATTATAGTTCCTCAAGAACTAAGGAATACCGTCAATGTAGTGATATGTAGATATTATCCATAAAATAACTATTAAAAATGATGGGAAAATGTGCAAAACTTGCCGGTGCAGATACCTTAACAGCAGTCTACAGTCTAAAGTTCGAGATTGGCTTAAAGGAAAAGTCCGTTTTTGATATTTTGGATTCACTTCAAGTTATATTTATCACATTTTTTCAAACTATTTCAAAGTGATGTGAGGAAAACAAAAGTGAAAGGCTTGTCTACGTCATTGGAAAATGACGTGGATATTTCGTTTGATTTCCATGCATAANGATGTATTATAGTTCCTCAAGAACTAAGGAATACCGTCAATGTAGTGATATGTAGATATTATCCATAAAATAACTATTAAAAATGATGGGAAAATGTGCAAAACTTGCCGGTGCAGATACCTTAACAGCAGTCTACAGTCTAAAGTTCGAGATTGGCTTAAAGGAAAAGTCCGTTTTTGATATTTTGGATTCACTTCAAGTTATATTTATCACATTTTTTCAAACTATTTCAAAGTGATGTGAGGAAAACAAAAGTGAAAGGCTTGTCTACGTCATTGGAAAATGACGTGGATATTTCGTTTGATTTCCATGCATAAGATTGGTCTTTCTTCAGTAGACACTATGAGCTGTTTAGAGGCGGTCCATTGAAATAATAACACGACGATGATGACGATTACGGTAATGATGATAAAAAATTCACGTGTAATTTAAACGTTACATTATATATAACATCACTTGTGACCTTCATATAGCAATGCTACCAGACCCAACCACTGAAGAACCAACAACCGACGATGATGATGGGGGTCCTTCATCAAGTGGTCTATCAGCAGCTGAAATTGGCGGTATCGTTGGAGGATCGGTCGGATTTGTTGTAATCCTCATCATTGTCAGCCTCGTTATCTTCTTCCGTTGCCAGCCTAAAAAAGGTAAGCTTTATTTGATAAGATTGTTTTCGCCATTTGTAGTCAAAGATATCGAAAATTCGCTCTTGGATATGTTTCAGCTAAGGAAATCGTCATGATACTTGATTGCAAGACAGCGCCTTCTAATGGTGTTAAGGGGGAAGTTTGATTTTTGTTGTTGCTGTTGTTTGGGGGGAATGGGGATATTTTAATCGAGAGTTGAGGAAAAAAGGGTGCATAAACTTCAACCACTTAGTCCTCTGATTGTGGTGAGCCGTTTGTGATTTATCTACACCACTAATTATTTCCTGTAATTTTCAACAACCCCAGCTTAATTCAGGATATTTTCTAGTTTTCCATATTTTTAAACAATTATTTTAAGCATTTATTTATTGAAAACATCACAAAAATCATCCAAAAATTCTCAGACATACAGTCGACTCCCGATAATTCAAATCTTCAAGGGAAGTGGAAAAAAGTTCGAGTTATCAGGAGTTCGAGTTATCGAGGGCAAAATTATTTAGAAAATGATCTAAAAGGAAATGAAAATTCCCTCGAGTTAGCAGGAGGCTCGAATTATAGAGGGTTCGAGTTACCGGAGGTCAACTGTACTAACATTGAACCAATGAATCCGACCCCCCTAAGTCATTACATGATTGAAAGAAATCTTGTCCATGGCTAGATTTTGAAGAAAAAGGGAAATAATTCGTGCTATCTACTTGTTATTGAGAACAATAGATAGTGTAACAGTCGAATATATACGGGCAAATTTTCTCGTTTTCATTTTTAATTTTGACTACCGCTTTATTTTAATATAGCTAAAGCTATCACTGTTACCAACCAGCTTTACTATAAATTTTCCATTCTTTAGCAGGTAAATCATTCAGTGAAGCAGACGGATATCGCATGTAAGTACATTTGATATTAATCAATATCTGTCGCTATTAAAAGGGAGAAAAATTAAGACCCGACACACGGTAACCGCTCTGAGAAAAGTTAACTCTTTGTTGAGCTGAAGGTGAAAATTTTTAAAGTTCTATCAAGAATTTTTTACTTAGGCGGGCCCCACCATGGTCCTAAAGGTTTTGATAATGAAGACTCGCGGCAACCTCGGTCCGAAACGCTCTCTCTACACAACGGTAAGGGAAGAAAAGGAGCAAGAGCATATGTCTAGGTTTGGTTGCAGGAACACGATTGCTGCGCTTCTTGTTTTTTACTAGTTTTTTTACTTACTAGATATCTGAGAGTACTGCGTAAAACCTGTTCTTGGTTTAATCTTACTTTCCTTTGTCTTACATTGCCATACCCTAAAACTGAACCAAAGCATATACGTGACACCTGCCTTATACCTGATCGCTTTGTGATGATCATTGTTTAGCTACAGTTTCATGCATGGATTGATATAGCCCTATCATGCACAATCAGTTGTAGTGTGGAGAAAAACTATAACACTACGCACGGTGGTACACGTTTTAGTCGAGGCATCACTAGAAAGTACAGTTGACTCCCGATAACTCGAACCTCGCGTCAACTCGAACCAAAATCGATTTCCCCTGGATTTCCGTCATACATTTACTGTAATTTTACCCTCGGTAACTCGAACCCTCGATAACTCGAAACTCCCGCTAACTCGAAGTAATTTTTGTTTCCCCTCAGATCAGTTCTATATAATGTTACCCTCGATAACTCGAACCATGTTTTGAGCCCTTAAAAAGTCGGGAAAAAAAGTGTACTGCCTCCGAAGCATTGAATTTTGAATTTCCCATTGACGTGTTGTAGGCATATAGTTTACTAGTAGATCGATAGTGGAGGCCGATGTTGTTTGTCACAAACCTAACGTGAAATAGCTTTACTTCTCAAAAAGTAAAATGCATGCTTTATTTAGGCAACGGTTTGTTACTTTACGTTCTGATTTATAATCTAAAAGTATCTTTCAATTTGCACTCAACATTTCTACAATTAAATATGACTAAAATGCTCACTGTGCAGTAAAAACTGTTTTTTTTTGCTCACTCCCGGCTATTTTCTTTGAGCTCCCGATAACTAGAACCTTTTTTGATTTCCCTTGAAGGTTCGAGTTATCGGGAGTCAACTGTACTGGCTACCATTTAATGCATGACTTTTTTACAAACACAGCAACCCGCGTCACAACACGTGATCTTAAATGAGTCTCAATAAAACCTTACTTTATCATGAAAACGCTCTAAAATATTTTCAGTACGACCCAAAGGATAACGTATTAATATTCCACGATCTATATATGTAACACACAGCGGCGTGCTTAGAATGCGAGTTTTGGAGTTTGAAGTTGCAACACGCTCCCCATATCTATATGAACTCGCAACTCGCGATCCGCAGTCCTCAACTCCTAACTATATCTCGCGACTCTCAAATCGCGACACGCAACTCTATAACCTTCAATTTCAAAACTCGTAGAATACCCGGTCCCATACTCGTATTGGCTACTACTCGCATTAATCGGATCGACTATCTTTATAGATGAGGAAAGATTCACAACAGAAACAAAATCCTGCCTTATTCTTCGTAACATCTATGAATAACAAAGCAGTTTATTGGCAAATCTCTATTTTTATTTTTTTTTTGGTAGGAACAAACAGCCTCCTTCATCAGGACTAGGGACAGCAAGCCCAGCTTTTGTTGAAGCCAGGATGTACGCTCCACCCAATACCGCCAATAAAAAGGTATTAACAACGACTGTATTTCATACCTTATCTTATTGCCACAAAATTGGGAAAATATGGACACGGCAATGGCTGTAGGAAAGCACCTGGCCTGCCTTGACAATACTCTGTTTGATAAAACATACATAAACACTTGTTTAGGGACGGACTGTTTGGTAACCACAGTTTGTGCCCAAGCTGTTGAAGTATCGTGACTTATCTGACGAAGCGAAAAAAAATAGTTTTTGGATATTTTGATAATTTTAATATAATCAACAGCTTTGTTTAGCCTGAATTTCATCCGATTACGTCGAGTCGTTATTACTTCCTCAGTAACGTCTGAATCGACCGGCCGTTAATGCCGTCCAGTGACGTCACTACTCCTTAATTCGTGCAAAAAGTAAAACACGATTTTCAAGTGGCAAACCGAGAAATATCGTTTGGAAATGTCTGCATGATACAGAATTGCTTTTTTTTTCGACCGTAGTTCATATTTAACGTTCAAACTATCAACTGCATGCAGTACAACTCTGAACCGGTTGTATTGAATTCTATAATCAAACTTGGTCGCAATCACGCGGCAATGAAATAAACACACACACTGTACATTTAGTTCAAAACACAATGATTTGCTTTAATTGAGAAAAAGCTGTTTGGTCCTTAACGAAGAAGAAACAAGGAAACAAGAAAAAAAAGCTAAAAGAATCATAGCAATTGACGGTAAAGATAGCAAGAAGGTCGAATCATAATATTGATCTCAGAAAACTTCGCGTAAGCAAAATCACCGGCCGTCGAAACCACAAAGCGGCTCCAAATGAAAAACCTACCGACTCTCCGCGATGATTCTTCATTCGCAGTTCAATTTAGCACAGTTGATGTGATGTCTTACAAGATTTTATCAACTTAATAAATGTAGATGTAGATGTAGATGTAGATTTCAGTTTTGAAGACAAGGGCAATTTGCTGTTTAAGATAAAAATTAAGCTTATCGAAATGTTTGAACTATACGAAAGAATGCCAGGGACCGATCCGCTGAATATCATGCGACAATCCCGCTAAAATTTTTCATAATTATACATAATTATGTGAATGTTTAGACAATCGACCAATCAAAATCACTACCCGGTTTTCGGGTATAGTGAGTGACGTTACTGGACTGCATTAACGGCCGGTCCATTCAGACGCTGTTGAGAGGAGAAAACGACTCGAAGCAATAGGATGAATTTGTTCAGGCTACAGCTTTGTTCCGATTTTGTGCAAGCTGGGTAAGTTGCTATAAGAGTCAACCAATGCCCCATGATATAGTTTTGCCCTCTTTCGATGATCATTCCTGCAAGTAGCCGACCCAAATTGTGCATACTTTATCTGCAATCTGCCAGCGGATAGAACGTCAAGATAATAGCTGTTTTGAAAAATTTGTTGCCATTCTTAAAATTGCATCATTTTTTACAGGGAGAGCCAGAAAAACGTCCTTTGCCAGCTGGAGGGAGCGGTGGACAGGACGGCCAGGGTGGCTTCGAATTGTGGTGCTAATTCTAGAATAGAAGTGGGACCGAAAACCAAGACCATCACATGCATGCGTTGTAGTTCACGAATGTGATCCCTGAGGATATAAAACGGGTGAAATATGAGCAAGTCCTCTCTTCACTATGTCCTGGTAGATTTAGCAGTAAGAAAAAAAAAACCTGCATTAATTTAATAACACTCTTGTTTTGACTGAAAAAATACGGTTTTATTCTTGTTAGTTTTAAGCAAGTGTAAGTGAGGTTGAATAGTAAAGACAATAATAATGATAATGATAATAATAATAATAATAATAATAACAATAATAATAAGAAGAAGAATTAGAAGAAGAAGAATAATGATAATGAAAATAAAAAGGCCACCGCGAAAACTTTGCAACTGTTAAGTAATCCCTCGCCACTGATCTGCTCGAAACGCGCATGATCATAGTCTTAACTGTTAACAAGAGACTTTTAACTAATAAAAAGGCCTTTTCCATGGTTTAAGCTTCGCTTGCCTTTCATTTCTAATAGAAGCTAATTTTTTTCTTGATTTTCAAATATTCCAAGAGGTTCTAGACTAAACAAGTTAAACTTATTGATAGTCGACAATTTAAAACATAGTTATTAGAGGAGACTGGTTATGAAAGAGAACAAACATCAGATATAAAAACAACAGCGCTACAGTTTATGTTGCAAGCTCCTCCTTGTTTTATGTTGGCAAATTGCGACGGAATAAATTAATGCAACATTTTTATTGGTCAGTAAGATCAAAATGATGGGAATGCTATTGAACATTGTGCACCGTCAGGTCCACAAAAACGTATAACAAAGGAGTCTGACGGGTTTCATAACCATCAATCATCACCAATCTATTAACTATGTTTGAAACCAGACCTCAAGTCTAAGTTACGAAAATATTTTATTGTGTGTTTGTGAAATATATGAAGCAAGCAGTAGATATTTGTAAGTATGCAGCTAATGAAACCATATATGATTTTTTAAGCTAAAGTTTGTATCAAAATTTTATTATACTGTTTATTAATTCATCAACTCATTTTACAAACGAATACATGTAATTAAAATTCTCTCCATTGATTTGTCATAACACTATTGAATAATTACAGTCTGTATTTTACAAATTGGTATATTGTGTTAGTGGTAAAAGATTTGTATGGGAAAAAAAGCAATAAATGTGCTGTTACTGCTTTTTGGTGTGAAACCGTTATCTCCATTTTCCTCTGAAATGAAACTGTATTGTCAATGCTTGGACTGTGATATATCTCTAGAATGGAGCTATGTAAAGGCCTAGAAAGCCTACGAAGGGTGGGAGTTGTAGTACCTATGAAGTTATAATTAAGAGCCAGTGAGAAACCACTGCCTCCTCCTCAGTTTTTTTTCACGTTTCTTTCAAGGACCATCGCGTCGGGTGCAGTGCATGCTGAAAAAAATTCATTGAATAAATGAATACATGCATTCAACTATTCCTTCATAACCTCGATAACAATATCCACGTTATTATTTATATCAGATATTTTGAGACATCAGCAATTTCTCATACCCAGTCGAATGATTTCTGATAAGTATTAAGAATGGGATCTTCTTAGGTTTCTTTGCGACGTCAACATCCAAACTATGTTGTCACGATAGGTCACGTGAGTTGTGTTATATGATGACGCCGCCCCCTTCTGTATTACAGCACCGTCTTTGTAGAACGTATAAGCACGAGGTGGGGATTCGCTTCATAGTCTTGAATTTCTGAGATGAAAACAGTCTTGTACCATATGAGTTATCTAGGAGAGATATAAAAAAGGGATGGTACTGAATTGCTCCCTAACATGATTAATAGACAAAGCAAAATGCGTGTACTCATCGCTTACAACCAAATACATCATAACAATTCGGATATTCATTTTTTCACCTTTGGCACAATTTGGTCACTTCACATAATTTTTTAGATTTATTAAGGTTCGGTCAACGTACATGTATAGCTTCGAAGTTATCTCACGGTCCTCATTCAGCGAAGGGAGCCATACATCGGCGCTAAAAGCCGCCTATATCCCATCCTGAATAAAGATAGGATATTGGCATTTACAAAATAACTAATGCGGTTAGTTAATGGTTAAAAGCCTATGGTTTATTGTGCCGGTAAAGTCGTAAAAAATTAATTTCTAAAAGCAACAGACCGCACTTTCTCAGGCGTGATAACTTGGGATGTTGGGAGAACGCTGGAAAAGCTTGTAAATCACTCGGCTCGAGATTTACAAGCTTCTCTGGTGTTCTCCCAACATCCCAACTAAGTTATCACGCAGGTAAACCCATAGAAAGTGTGGTCTATTGCTTAAATACAACAACTTATTTTCTCTTAACCGACCTGATGTCACGTGACGATACCCGAGGTATCGCCAAAAAATGCAACCTACGGACTTATGTCGTTTACGACGAGAGACTTTAATTGATTATTGAAGACTAGGAAACTGAATTAACACGTTATGACAATAATATCAAGGCAGGAGATGGATGAATTCTTAACATTTCATCTCCAGGGGCCAGTTTCTTGAAAGTCACAATAATTAACGCGCCCGCAAAGCTGTTGTTGACTGCGTGCAAGATAGAGGCTTCGATAGCTTGGCATCTAACTGATAAAACTATCAGCTAATGAAACAAAATGCAGCATTTTGCTTAGTTTTGTCTGGAGTTTGCTTACTTTTCCAGTAAAAAGGCCTAGGCTTTTTACGAGAGACTGACATTTTTTAGCCGCCCGGTTAAAAAAAAAACGGAATGACCTCTTGTAACGTTGCATATTTTGAGATATCCCGACCAATTCTTCTTGATTATTCTGCCGTTGAAATAAAACACGTATGTTGGCGCTGACTGCTGATCGTAGGGCACTTAAATGCGACACCTGTGTGGAACCAGGCAGTGTTATTCGGTGAACAGAAATAATTACATGTGGTATATACTGGACGATAATCTACAACAAACAGCATGTAATAAATAAAATATTGTGCCACAAAAACTATCGTTGCTTTTAAAGCTAATCGGTTGAAGAATCAGGTTATATCTGGGATATGCAGGGATCATTAGACGCAAAATTCTAACACAAAAAATCGCATTGTTTAGTACCGTTTTCGTTTGAAAAGCTGCCCCTTTGTGTATACTTTTGGTTGACAAATGGTACCCCTTTCACAAACTTGTTTAGAACGCAGCATCCCCTTTAACTGCTGTAATGGGTCGTCTGTTAAATATGTACATGAATAGATAATAGTTCAAGGCCATAAATGCGCCGTTAGCCCCTTTAGTCCCTTCCGCAAATAGCAATGACAGATTTTCCGCTCCTTTCATGTATTTAAACCAGTGAAACCACTACACTTTTATTTACCTGCAACCTAAAGAAGATACCCTTTTCAGGCGGAGCCTCTCCGTACAGGCTATTGTAGGATGTACCCCCGGGCTTTCGTGAGAATGAAAACCATAAACAATCGTTATAAACCTGGTTACATTCTATATTTTCCATGTTTACGAATAACAAGAATGTGGAAGCTGGCATCTTGGGCTATCAGGCATTTGCAGACAACTTTATCTGTAACATCTTCCTGTTCTTTTGCCGGAATCCCCAGGAGCGGTGACTGGAATTTTTTCCTTGGTGGGGCATAACTGGGAGTATGTGTAATATTGGCACGACAGCGGCGAAGAGGAGTGCCGAAGGCACGAGAAACTAGGGGAATACGGGCCCATGCTCCCCCAAGAAACTTTTAAAATTTAAGTACTCTAGGATGCAATCTGGTGCAATTTGAACGCTAAAATTTGGCAAACACCAGGATTTTATTCTGGTCAACGAAGTAAGACAAACTTAATGACCTTTTCCAGCTTAGCAAAAAAAAAATTATCAAACTTGAATACTTCCGTAGAAAATTATCAATTGTCAGTTTGTTGTAGCGTCGAATACATGGTTTGGGAAAGTTTTAATTGACATCGACGGTTCAAAAGCGATTCAGCATGTGATTTAATGCTCAAACAAACTGATTTCCAATATCTGCCTTGTTCAATTTGTCGAGTCATTTCCTTGTGAACGTGGATAATGATGCAGTGATTCAATCTTTCTTGCAACACACACTCTAAGATACGTCTTGAGCCTTTTAAGGGCAGAGGCCGAGTGTTTCCTCACAGCATTCGTGGCAGGTACAACAAGAAGTAACTTCACAAGGTTAAAATAATTAACAGCAACTCCGGGGAGGTTTCTCAGATATGCCACTACATCGTTCAACCCAAAGTCCATTTTAGTACCAAGCTACTCTCTCAAAGTTTGAAGCTGTGGCAGCAGCGAATTGCGCTTCAAGTCGTCTCCATAAAAACACAGACAGAATCAAGATCTTATAAAGTCACAGAATATTTCTTTTACGAATTCAAATAAGTTAAATCGCCTCATACAATGTACGATCATCTGGTCCAAGGATGTTGAAAAACTTAAGCATGTCTCAGCCTGCGCAATTTTAAGTTGTCCCAAAGTTGAAAGTTGTTAAGGCAAATGTCCCACCTTTCCCCTTGCCTGTAGCGCCGCGCTTGATCCCTTGGTAAGGTTTAATTCCTTTTATATAAAAAATCTTTTAACTGCCACTTGTTTTTAACGATTAATTCTGCCGTGGAGATTTGCTGGGAGCCCTAACTCCATTTTAAGCTATACAGTGGTGTGTGTCCTCCATTCTCTTTGCTAGTGATATGTTTAAGTTGACTGTTTGCCGACAGCGCCATATCAGTGGCTCACCGCCTTCTGTCTATTTTTTATTTATTTATTTATTTATTTATCTATTTATTTATTTAACCGGTTTCACCATGATTACAATGCTAAAATAAGACTTAAAAAAATACATTTGAACAAGGCACAAAAACGAGAGACGAAGGTGCGGGACACACAACGGAGCGAGGCTCCAAATTAAGTGTGCCCCTTAAGAAAAATACACACTGAAATACTAACTATGCTGACTATGTAAACATTTAAACATTTTAAGAAGTATAAAAATCCTATTTCCA